CCTTCCCTTCCCTTCCCTTCCCTTCCCTTCCCTTCCCTTCCCTTCCCTTCTTCCCAGCAGGTAAGGCCATGGTTTGTTTCGGGAACATGTTCATCGAGCTGCCGAAGGCAAAGACCCGGGAGATCCTGCGGCAGGGTGAGGTCACCCCGAGGGCTCCGTGTAGTTATAAGCGTTTTAATAAGCACCATCATTAATAAGGTGTTGGCTCAATTAACGGAGTTCTGTCCAGGGATGGGCTTTGATGTGCCCAAAACCTCTCGAGAGGCTGATTCTGGCCCATGCTGTGCCCTGGGAAGCACATGCAGAAGCTGCTCAGCCCCGGGGGTGGTGGAGGTGGGGTGGGACCTCCTTGTGCCTGTGCTGTGTCCCATGGGAAACTGAGCCTTCATCCCAGAGCCCACTGCAGTCCTCCTCACTCCCGCCTCTTTTCCCAGACCAGGAAGAGCTGGATGAGGAGATAAACAACCTCCGGAAAGAGCTCCGGGTGAAGGTCAACCAGCTCTATGAAGCTCAAGGTAAACGCTCCCACTCTGGAAGCTGCTCAGTGCCTGGGAGCAGACTCATGTATCAGGAGGGTCCAGAAACTCCTTAGTTCCATGTGTTCCTGCAGCCTCTTTTCCACTGGTTTTACAGTTCCCTCCGTGTCCCAGCAGCATTGTCCATCTCTGTGTGGAGCTGTCACCCAGCAGCACCCTAAACCCTCTCTGACACTGTGCTAGGGTGACCCCACTTCAGCTTCCAGGACTGTCCCTGCCCTCCCCACAGCCCCTCTCGAGTTTACCGTGACCTGCTTCACTTATTTTGTGATAAAACCCTGATTTTTTTCACTGTGTTTTCTCAGGCAAACCTGAGCTGAAGGGGTTTAACCTGAATCCTATGTCTGCCGAGGAAATGAAACTCATCAACCGCATCCTGGAGGGCTGAGGTGTCCATGCCATTGTCACAGCATGTTTGGCTGTCACTGTGGGTTCATGTTTCTATAGCCACAGTCCTTGGAATTTGCAGGACACTGCTGTGTCCAGAGCCCACCCAGGTGAGGGCCCTGGGAATCATTTGGCTGCTCAGCTACAACACTGCAGTTTGTTTGGATCACAAACCCCTTTTCCTTGCTGGAACTCGGGTGGCAGAGCCGTGCTGGATGCAGCACTGGGCAAAGGCCCACGGCTGGGGTGGAGGTGGGATCATTAAAATCAGAGCAGTGGGACATTTCCTGACTCCATGTGTATGTTCCTTGTTGGGGACTTATGTGAACGCTTCTGGCTTCAGAGCTGCTCCTTTGTCACGTTGGGAACAGGAGTAGGAGGGATTGGGAATCCTCCACATGCCTGAAGCACAGAAGAGGAGTTGTGCACGCCCATGGCATTCAAACAAAGCCAAGCTGTACATCTGAGGCATGTCAGGAATCTCTAAGGATGTGTAGGGAGGAGCAGGAGGAGGCAGCATCCTTTCAGTCTTGCTTGGAAAACATGTTCCACTGTTGGAAGGCAAAAGACAGCAGAAATTAGGCTTTCAGGACTGGATGAAGGGATAAAACTTGGGTATATTTAAAAAAAGCAGCCTGAGGAGGCCTGAGCAGGAACACTCACTGAGTTTGTCTTGTAAAAGGACAATTGATGAAACCAGTAGTAGTTTCTGCAAAGGTTTTAAAATTTGCTGTTTTCTGCACTCCCTCCTCTGAATGTGCTCCCCTAAGGGCTTAACTTGGTCAAGAGCATAAGATTTTTTAAAAATAGTGATAATTAGTACATGACTACAGTGAGTTTGATTTTTTTCTGCTTACAGGGAAGTGTCTGGGTCCAGCCAAGCCCTTACTTTTTTGAACTTCTGTGGAGATATTTCTGGATAGAGTTTCAGAACTGTAAACATGGCTGTTGTCCTTTCTCCAGCCCTGAGGTTGCTCACCTGTTCTGCCAAATCTTGCATGAGCAACAGAGCTGGGCCTGGTCCCTTGCTCTCTTTCCTTTTTCCCAGCCATGACAATGTTAAAGACAGCACCACCATTTCCCTGGCTCCCTGCCCACCTTGCAACTTAGCAAGGCCTTCTCCTGTCCTGGCCAGTTCTAAGCATGCTTCAAATTACACAGAGTTCCAAAAAATACCCTGTATCTGACCCCCTAAAAACAAGGTGTGATTTCTTTAAACCAAAAAACCCAACTACCCTTGGTCTAACTTTTAAAATTCTGCTGCTGATACTACAAACCCTAAATGTGTCTCTGTCCACTTCAGGCTTAACATTTCAGATACACAGACTAAAAATAACAAACTTACTACCTGAACTGTCTTGCCTGCAGCTTTTTCAGAAGCTTGCCTGTCTCCTGGGAGCAAGAGGCAGCTCACAGTGCCATATCCCAGTGTTGGAGCTGCTCTTACATAACCCATGTGGTGCAGCCAGTCCGTGTCTCTGAAATGTGATGGCAGGGTTATTTTTACAGTCTCATGGCAACAGGTTTTTTGCTCTGACATGTTTCCATAGTAGTAGCAGGAGGAGGATCAGGTGCCTGCCTGCCCTAAAAGCTTTGTTTTGCTGTGCAGAATGTGTTTAGCCCCTTTGTTTTCTTACATGGAACAGAACTAAGCTCTGCAGTGCAGAGGGCCAGCTGAGCAGCCAGGCATCCCTGTGTCAGCTAAAATACCTTATTCCAGCCCACTGCAGCTTCCAAGCTGGGAAACTCTCAGAAGCAAGGGAGCCAGTGCCTTGTGCTGAGCCAGTGGTGTCCAGAGAGAAATGGGAGCTGCTGCTGCTGCCCAACACAAGGGGAGAGCAAACTTCATCCATGAGGGTGTCTCCCAGCCCAAGCTTGGGATCAGCACCACACTTTCTGCTGTGCAGCCAGATTCCTGAGAAGCTGCTTCACTTGTTTCTTCCTAGGACACATCAGCCACAATGAAAACATTACCAGGCCAGTTACACAGCACCTTCCTCCTGCCTGTAGAGGTGAGGTGATATTTCACTTTCAGATGAAGCTCTACTCATGTGTTGTTAGTTAGAATCCACAGCCAGAGATGATGGTAGACAAACTGAGGTGTGCATGGCAAATGTGTGTCAGCTTCTCCACGTATGGAGAATCCAAATACTGCTTCCCATCAGTAAAATACACAACTTCAGGAAGGTGTCCAATAAACAGTCACCACAGAGTCAGTTTTTGAAAACTTCTGGTCCTTTTGGTCTCCTAATTCATTAAGAGCTCACATACCCATTCTTGTTCCCTAATGAAGATATGCGTTCCCCTCCTGTGCCAACAGCTTCATGACCAAGTAGGACACCTCCCAGCACTGGATGAATTCTGCAGCTAAATGGGTGTTTGCCATGACATTCTCATGATCACCCAGATCACCCCCTCTGCTGACAGGCCTGTCATTCCAGACCAGGTCAAAGCCTCCAACATGCTGCTCCTTCCCTGTCAGCCTATGGCATCAAACTCGTGAACTGAAGTACCTGAGCAATGACAGTTCCCCAGCTGCATGCAGGAATCAATTCCCAGACAACCAGGGACACAGCTGAAAGCAAGGGACATCTCTTTGCTATTAATATCTGGGGTTAACACAGTTGTGTAGTCAATGACAAAATGCTGCAAGACCAGCTGCTGGGAACAGAGCGCTCCAGCAGCAGCACAAGTGGGAGGCACAGTGCACAAGGACCTCTGACAGAGAGCTCTTGTGCAAGTCCTGGCTCCAACAGGGGCTTCTATCCCTTGGCAGACCCATGCTGCCTTGTTTTCCCTCTCTAAAGGGGCAACATGCTTCCTTACTTTGCACTGCTTCTGGATATTCATCATTTAATCACTATAAAGTTTAGAGGATTATGATCAGTTGCCAGGAAAATCATGAAACCAGACCATCCATCCCAAACACTGTAATAAAACCCCTCAGAAAGTGATAAACATCTTCACCCCCCTGCTCTCCCTGTTCACAATGCTGAGTCTTTCAGAAGATGAACTTGAGTTCAGAATCTCCCTGGCAGCTGGCAGTACAGGAAGGTGAAGTATTTACCTCCAGACCCAGCTGAGGAGATATAACAGTAAATTTGGGAGAAACAGGCAGTTTTGCCAATGGCTCATTAAGAAAAATGCCTGCCCACAAAATCATTACCCTGGTAGCAGGCAGGAGTGTGAAGCAATAGGAAATCCAACCCTAAATCTCTTTCCCATGTGCTGAGCCAAAGAACATTCTGAGCTTATTGCAAAGTTTCTATTCCTGTTCTTGATGATACTAAAGAAAAAAAAAATCCCTTTGGCTTCCAGAAAGAAAAATGAAAAATAAAGTCATGCTGAAGCAGTAAGTGCTGAGGAAGATTCACAGAATGAGCATTAACCCTTTTTAATTGCAAATGTGGGTGTCTGCAGAGAACAGGTTCCCAGCAGAGTGTTCAGATATCTGAGAGCCCAGCAGCATTGTGATGACATCGAGGAGTTGCATTCCAATTCATTTCTTTCCTGACTAACTGAAGTTACTCCAGCCCTTTATCTGCAGGCTGCCTTAGCAGTAATTTTGTTTGAGGCTGTGAACAGAGTAGACTGTGCACATTAGAGCTATCCCAGACCAGAACTGAGCTGAATTTCTTTGTTCATTTGAAATAAAACTGTCCCCAGTGGCACCATGTGAAATATTGGGCTGAAGCTGACAGGACACAGTGCTGTAACAAGTAATACCAGTGACCATGTCTTGTTAGAAGGAAGAGTTAAATTAGAGGTATTTCATAGGAGAGCACCATAAACATAAGTCACATCTAAAGGAAATTGCCTTACCTATGGTTCTGCTTGCTCTTTACATGACTAAGCCTGAAGGAATAATAATTGTATTTTTGCTTGTCATTTTTGTAGTGCTATTTGCTGTTTCTGTTTCTCTCAACTCTTGTAATGACAAATCAGTTGTGTTCTCAGGTTCTTGCTGTTGCAATACTTGGGTTGCAAATGTAGCAGATAAATTTCTGAGAATTTCAGCTGAATTTAATGGTAAATATTTTTCACTTAACCAGAGAGAAAACCTGTGTTAAAAAAGAAACAGAACCAACGGAGTCAAATTCTGTTTTAAAGGGGCTTTTTGTTGTTAAGTACCCTCAGTTCCCGGCCTACATCTCAGTCAGTGCACCATGGACCTGCTGATGTTCATTGCTGGCAGCCAAACCACTCTGGGGGGGAGGTTTGTCAGTGCTGATGGGACACTGCTGTGGGACACAAGCAGGAGAGATGACCCTCCATCTCTGGCAAGTGCTCTGATACTTGTGATTTGCTGGTACTTGGAGGGGAACATCTTCCAGAAATAGCCAAGTTGGCAGGGTTTCACAACACAGGGCTAGAGATCTGACAGTTATATGGTGCTGTACCCAGATGAAGTCTGATTGATTAAAAGCAGCTATATCTGTCCAGGTGGCAGCTTCCTTCATGTAACCAGTTCTCACAGCTGTACAACTCACTCACAGCACCACGCCAGCTCACTCAGCATGCAAACCCCTGCAAAGTGTGGAAGCATCACGAGACCCCCGTGTCCCAGAGCCAGCAGCCAACCTGACACTGTAATCCCTTGTCTGCTTAATAACACATTTAGGGTTTCAGATCCTGATGGGTTAGGATGTCACAGTCCAGGAGCTCAAAGTAGCATTTGTCACTGCTAATCCCCTTCTGAATGAACCTCTTTCTGGATGAAAGTGCTCGTCCATATCCACAACGAGAACCTCCACTGGCCCTGCCCCACACTTGGGAGTCAAGCACGGTCCAAGTTTCTCGATCACCAACCTGCAGCCCTGAGACATCCAAACAATTACACAAAGTCATTCCCAACAGATGACCACACATTTAGTCCATGTGATTTGTTTTCAGTCATCTCCACAGCCTAGCAAGAATTCTGAGTAAAAGGCCAGAGACCAGAAGGGCCACCAACCACACTCAGCACTTAAGCTCTCCAGGCTTAACTGCTATACACCTACAGGAGAAAACAGTCCCCAAGTCTCCATCAGAAGTTGCCCACCAGCAATTGACCTCCTCTCTGCTGTCAGGGTACTGCAAAAACGCTCCTTTCCCTTCTGACAAGAAAGATTTATAGAAGGGAGCAGCCCATAAAATGAGATGTTCAACACCACGCTCCATTATGCTCAAGCACCGTTCTCAAATTCATGAGGAATCTGACAACCTATTTTTTTTTCCTCCCTTCCTTCCTTCCTCCCTCTCTCTCTCTCTCAGCTGCCACCTCTTGAGAGAAGCAGCTTAACAGTGACAGCTGTGTGCAGCAATGCCAGCCTTGCTGTCCCTCTAAGATCTCAGAAGCGAAGGGCTAAGCTACATCTACCTCTCAGGAGTGCTCTAACCAGAACATTATTGAGTTTCAAGTAAAAAAGATCCACCCTATAGATGCACAAAGCAGAAAGCTGACCCATCCTCATACCTAAAGCTGCCACCAAGGAAATCACCTGGCTGTGTGTCAAGAGAAGAGGCAGCACAGTTAAGTGGCTGCAGCACACATGGCAGCTGGCAGGGTGAGGTCAGATCACCTGCATCTGCCAGAGATCCCACAGAAGCAGCCAGGAATAGCCTGCAGGCAGCATGTCCCCCTCCCTGGCCAGGATCAGTCAGCTGCAGGCTTTGTGCTGCCACATTTGTGAGAGAAACATCTGGGCTGAAATAGAGATAAAAGTCCAAGACAAACAGAGACTGAACAAGCAAATATGCAATTCTCACTCTGACAGTCCTCTGTGCCCCAGTGACAATTAATTATTTTCCCTCTCTGTCCCTATTTTCCCAATTTTCAGCCACTTGA